CGCGCCAGAGACGAGGCCGGGGCGGCCCTGATTCGCTGGGAACCTCCGAGGCCACCCTTGCGCCGCCTCCCTCTTCCGACAGCAGCCCCGAGCTGCCCGCCAGGCACCTTTCACCGTAAGGGAAGACGGCCCCGCGGTGGTTATCGGTGTGGTTCTGATTCACCGCCATCGTCTTCCGGGGCTCCCCCAACCGCCCCTCAGATGGAAAGGGGCGGCGCCTAAAGCGAGCCGCGGGGCGGGGCTCCGGAGGGGCGGGCAGAGATTGTGGCGCAAGGGCGGGAAGTGAGTGAGCCAGGCGGCTGGTCACGTGGGGGGCCGTAGGTGACAGGGTCGGGGATGCTGGGCCCCCACAGGCTCCTGACCGGAAAAGTGGCGGCCCGGGCATGGACTCTGCCCCGGAATGTGGCGAGGGCCGCCTGGTCTGCCAGCATGGCCTCGGTGCCACCTGCCCTGCTGTGAGCTAGATTCGGCCCTACCCACAAGCAAAGTTAAAAGCAGAAATGGCTGGAGGCCTCGTCTGTGTTTTCCTTCGGAAAAAGGGTCCACAGTCACCCCACGGCTCTAAGGTGAGCAAGACTTCCTTCCACCGGAATTGGCCCCACACTGGAACCAGCTGCCTTGTGAGATGGCATCCAAGAAAGGGTCAGGAAGTCAAACTGGGGGGTTCAAAGCGGATGGAGGTCATTCTACCCCAAGATCCCAAGAACTTTTTAAGACATAGGTTGGCCGAGAGCAGCTAATGACAGTGTAACTTTCTAGAGTAACCCACAGGATGCACTATCAGTAGCAGCAATCAAAAAAGGACAGTTTGTGCCTTAGCAAACTCCCCACCTTAAACCATGTATTTCAGCTTATTCTAGATCAGAAGCTAGACCAGCAAAGGATTCTGGGCAGGGATTAGAAGGGGGTGGGGGGAAGTGCTCTTTAAAGAACTAGCTTGCATAGCACTGACTTGAGTGACCCATTTTAAGAAATCCGCCCATTCTGAGGTTTCAGATTTCTCAGAAAAGAATGCGCATAACTTCCCCCTTCCACTCAAGTGTATAAGGCCACCTGTTTCACTTGTCTGAGAAGGGGGAGAGCTTTTAGAGGGTGGCCTCCCTGACTTCTTAATCACTAGCAATTAATAAAACATGTCAGTGCTAAAAATCCTCCTGAATCTGACTTAGCCTTAACTGGAGTACAGAAGGTAAACCCCCTGAATTCTGTAACACCTTCATGTCTGTGTTGTGTTCATTTGCCCTCTCTCTCTCATCGGGTGTTTGTGAGGATCTGCTGGGAGACATGGTATTGGAATTACTCTGAGGACTAAAATGTTGCACATCTTTTTGTTTTCTTTGAACTTAGCAAATAGTAGCAGAGGTCTTCAAACAAAGGGATTGTAACATCTTGACAACTGTATGTCATTGAATTTAAGATACCATCATCAGTTAGTTATAAGATGCACCTCTCATAACTGTACCTCTAAGGAGGGAGGCGGGAAGTACCTCTAAGGGCAAGGTGACCAGATTTTAACATTGGTAAAGCGGGACAAAAGCGGGACACCATTGATAAAACTTATATCCTGGCGAAATAGCCACATGGCAGCCGAAAACCGTATACCCTAGCTTGTTGTGCACGGGATGCAGGAAACATTGTTTAAAATCGGGACTGTCACGCCAAAAGCGGGACGTCTGGTCACTTACAAGGGGGAAAAAAAACACTACAAAAAGGCCTGACAATTTGCTTCTTTGCCTCCATTCAGATTACAGCCAAGAAACTTGTATGAAGCTGTTCTACATCCTGTGGGCCATCATTGGTTGAAATAGATCAAGTCCCACTATCAACAAACAGAACCGGGTAGTGCGGTCAATGATTACAGCCTTCAGTAAGGATTATAACTCAAGGTAAAAAACAACTAAAATCTTCAAAATTGGCCCATGTAGAACATAGTAGAAGTTGTGTGAAGTCGTGAAATAGGCACTATGATCTTGGCCCCTCCTGCCGTGGTAGCTAAATGTGCAATCTTGAGCAAAATGATGTTACTCTTGGATGCCCACATCCATATGCAAACACTGGCACAGAAGGACTCTTGGTTGTGGTATTTTATGCTCACCACATGGCTCTCTTCTTACTAGCACTCAAATCTTCCTGCTTCTTTCCACCTTGGTGCCCTGTTGCCACTCTCATTCCAGCCCGTATTGTACTTGAATCACCTAGGGGCCTCCTGACTATTCTTCCTCCTGTCTTGACCCCTCCAACCTATTTCCCGCAGTTCATCTATACCCAGTGCTCACCCTACAGAATATTAAGACCCCCAGTATAATTGCACAGGTCTACCCTGACATACATGGAGTTGTTCTGAGAGGGAATCAACTCCATGACTTGTATGGTATGGTGTGTGCAGTTCAGTGGGTTTCTCTTTATAGATGACCTGACTGGCCTGCGGGGTATAATTCTACAAGAAAATGGTTGGTTGGGCTACAGCCTGCCCTGTGATCAATCGACTTTATGTACCTGGCAGGTATTGGCCACTTACTAAACAAATGGGATGTGAAAACCACCCAGTAGAATTCAGTGACCTGGCAGCAATTGGTCAGTTTGTGACCTGGCTGGGGG